CACCACCACCACGTAAAAAAAAAAAACAAGATTGTGTTTTGCTTAGAATCCAGAAAGTTTGTGATATATCATTCCTTAATTAGTTGGGAAGCCAGCAACAACTGCATCTTTAAGAGGAGCTAGAGTATAGCTCCTGTAAGTTTACGTGCTACATTATGTGGATCAGTATACAAAATATTTGTCATATCTCTCCTCTATCTAGGCTCTAGAAATTTCAAGGGTACTCCGATTATGTGTGTGATTGGTCACTTTCGAGGTTCCATGGAAAGACTCTCTCTGGCTGATAATATTCCTTGAGCAGGATTTGCCTTCAACTAGGTGTCTGGCGTATTGCTCATAATATCCTTTCATATTTTATTAGTGCTTCCATTAGATGATGCTGATTAGGGGTGCAAATGACCGCAGTAGCCATTCTGAATCCGTTTCCTTTATATTTTTGTAAATGTGGATATCCTTCTCCATCTGTTAAGAATCTTAGTAGAATATGAATATTGATATTCTGTCTGAATATTTGAGTACATATTCAATTACCAGTTTTATTATTATATAATGTAAAAAAGAAAACTTCATTGAAAGGTATCATCATCATCATCATTGTTTAAGGATAAGATCCAAGCCGAAAGCTATTTTCAATAGGCAGACAATCCTGTACTACTTTCAGTATACTTAGGAAGAAAACAAGTACAAATAAGTTATACCACTATCCTCTTCATATCCAGTCCCTTTACGTCACTACTGTTGCTAGCAATGGTCTAGACCAAGTCAGAGATGGATACATACTATTAAAAAAATAGAAAAATTATCAAATTTGGTGTTTTTGTGTCAAGTATGAGATTGTATTTCCTTAAAAGGCCAACGTGCAAAATAAGTAGCCTTCTGAATAAGTGTTCCCAAACAAGGTGAATGGAGGTGAATGGTTCCCCTAACTTCCCTTCACCCTCATTCTCCTCAATCCAAACAAGCCCTTAAGCATTCCCAAGCATTTGCATGACCATGATTAGGAAACTATTCATTCCTTAAGAAATGATATCCTTATTGAGTCAGCATATTGTGAAGTTATTTATTTCCATGTTCACAACTTCACATTTGTAATTTTTTGCGTCATTGTTGTCTGTCAAGTTGGGAGCGCTTTGTTATATGTTACACTCAGCTGATTCACAACAAGATAGCTACTATGATTCTGTGAGCTATATAAATATTTTATTGATTCATTAGTCGTGATGGTAAACAAGTTACTCATATTGATGACGAGTCTATTCGGGAAAAACGCTATGCTTTGTTTATCGTCATGGACTCAATAGGTTCAATAAAGTCCTCAATTAGCATTATCAATAGGAAGAAATGTTAACCTGATGAATGAATGTATATGGGGTTGTTTTCTTCAGAAGAAAAGCTGAAGCAATTTCTCATTATTCACATAATAACTTCTCTGTATGCCACTATATTATGATTTTCCTTTTTAATTTGCTTCCACTATAATTTCCTGCCTCCTTGGTCCTTCACTAAATGCACATAGCTAACTGATTGTGCTACAAATTCCTTCTGCTGGCTCCTTTGTTTTGGGTGGAGACTGCTAGCCATAAACCTCTTTGAAATCATGTGATTCTTTGTAACTTCTTCTAATAATTGGATTACATTAATTTCTAATCATCTTTTGCCCCTCTGTTTTGTGGGTATTAACATTATCTTCTTCTAAGCTGATTATAGTGCGTGTTGGTTTTGCTGCGAATATTTTATTTTTTAGTCTGTTCATTTCACTTTATTTTTCTGAACTTCTGGGGTGCATGAGCTTTTAGCCTCCAGATTTGCTATATATATATATATATATATATAATATATATATATATATATATATATATATATATATATATATATATATATATATATATATATATATATATATATATATATATTATATATATAACACAATGGTACTGATTTTTCTATTTACAGCTCCAAAAGGAATCTCAAGCTTGTGGAATTTGTAGAAGTTCACTAGAATTGCACTGTGACAAGAACCTTCTTGTTCCCTGCAATGAATGTGGATGTGCAGTTTGCAGCACATGCTATGAATTCATATTGACCGTTGGAAATCAGTCATGTCCTAAATGCAAGTATCTTTAGTGCATACTTAGGTTTGCTCAAATAAAAACTTTTCTATATTATTCTGTAGGATTTTAGATGTCTGCAGGCTTCTAGTTTGGTCTGTGATTTTGCAGTACTTGTGTAATTAAAATTTTCAAAGCAGATTATGATAGTTGTAGTGAACTCTGTTTTACTTGACAGGTAGCCCTTCCATAATAGTTGAAGAATTACCAAACACAGATTGTGGAGATTATCTTTTAAGATTTACTCAAGATCCAAAATGCTCTGAAAGCCTGGTATTGGAGAAAGCATTATGCTATACAGTGAGTTATAGAAGGAATGAAGGAAACGCTATACCTCAGTCTCCAAAGAGTGTATCTCTTACACTAAATGTGCCTGAAAGAAGTTGCCAGATCACTCAGAAGGTGCGTGCTTAAATTCAGATGATCATCTTGTATTTATCCTTTCCGAGCATTCTGCTCTTCATTATAGTATAGTAAACTTAATATAGTAGCCTTTTATCGATTTCATATTATGAACTTGTTCTGGCAGGTGTATGCAGAGGTGTCCTCATGCTGTACAAACAATTTTACTCACTCATATTCATCTTTTGGCATTTGGAGTAAAAAGAAAAGCTCTTCCCCTGCTTTTGCTCCATGTCATCTAGGTATTCGCTTTGTTGAATATTTTAAATATAAAACACATGCTCTCTGCAGCACCATGAACTGTATATGCATGATAACATTTTCTTCTTACTCATTCTTTATGTTTTGAATTTGCATTTGTTTTTCTTATCAGATCCATTTAAGCTTTCATTGAAGTCGCAAGCTTCAGTCATTATGAGCATTGAAGATCCTCTCTGGAAGGAAAGGCTTTGTCAATGGAAGCTTGCCCAGGAGAAATCATCATGTGCAAGTGGGAGTGAAAAGGTCACTGAAGTTGATGAGTCTAGTCCTCTTACAGAAATGGAATGGGACCAATTTGAAAAGTATGAATTTCTTTGCCCATGATTTTGGATTTGACTCAATTTCACTACACTTGGTGAAAGTGAAACTCTTTTATATGTGAAATACATGTCCCAGAAGTATATGTTTCCCATTCTATTGTTTGGTTCTTTATGGCTCTGAAGTAAATTATATTTACTGAAATCCAAATTGGTGCTGCCCATGAAAATTTATTCAGTTTGTCGGAAGCATATCGGAAAGCAAAATTTCTGATTCATATAGAAGTCATGATTATTAATTTCCTTTTTACCATTAGTTATGCTTTTAAACTTTTAATTATGTTGCATTCGTTAGGGATGAAGAAAGCCGCCAGCCTCTGTCAAGAAAAGTGCATATTCCCTCCTCAAGGATTAATCCCTACAGAGCTGTAGTTCTCATTCGTCTTGTAGCACTAGCATTTTTCTTTCGGTATCGACTACTTAATCCTGTTGCAAATGCTTATGGGCTTTGGTTGACTTCAATCATATGTGAAGCCTGGTTTTCCCTATCTTGGATTTTGGACCAGCTTCCGAAATTGCAACCTATTCACAGGGAAACCTATCCTGAACGTTTATGTTTGAGGTAAAACACATTCTTTATTTGGTTTTAGAGCAGTGCAATGGATCTTGTTTACAAGTTTTACTATGGACTACTTATATTTGCAGATACAACTATCCAGGAAAAGAATGTCAGCTTGCCCCCATTGATGTGTTTGTTAATATCTCAAACCCTATGAAAGAGTCACCTCTTGTCATATCAAATACCGTGCTCTCGATTCTGGCCGTGGATTATCCTACAGATAGGTTAACATGTTATGTCTCGGATGATGGGGCGGCAATGCTGACCCTTGAAACTCTATCAGAAACCTGTCAATTTGCTAGAAAATGGGTGCCATTCTGTAGGAAATTCAATGTTGAGCCTAGATCTCCTGAATGTTATTTCTCCAAGAAGGTAGATTACTTGAGAAACCACATAGCTCCAACATTTGCAAAAGAGCGAAGGGCAATGAAGGTACTTATCTACTCAAAGACACTTTGTTATTAAAATAAAGTATGTCAGGTGAAGTTTGAAAATATTCTTTTTTGTTGATTGGTTGTGGAATGCTATGGTTTTTGGAAAAAGTAACTTAGGACATATTCTTTTTTTAGAACATTAGTTAGACATATGTTCTAATTCAATTAGTTATATAATCAAAAGTGATTTGATTTATATTTTATGGTTTGAATAAAACTAAATTTAGATAAATCTCAATAAGCCAAGCGATTATTCATTATAGTTGGTTTTTTAATATTTCTCAAACTATAATTTACTTGTCCTTACTTAATATCTAACTTTTCTAACTTTAGTATGTGAGCGAAATAGCCCCATTGGAGGAAAGAAAGGAGCAGAAAGCTTTAACTATTTATTTGTAGAGTAGTTATCAATTGTGAGTAATTGCTTTATTTAGTTAGTGGCATCCCTGCTAAATATAAATTTGCCTATGCCACTTGACTTGAAGAGTGTATAAATTATAATTATGGACTTAGATATATTTTGTTAGGAACTTCATGTAGATTATTGGCATACCTGCTAAATTATAATTATGGACTTTGATGTATTTTGTTAGAAACTTCACATAGATTAAAAAACTACAATCATAATTTTAACTTGATGGCTCTATATTATGTTTGCTTGAATTATCAGTTTCAGACGACTTCATGGTATTGTCCTTTCTGTAGCTATGACAGAAGAGATAAATTTATTTGGAATGAGTAAGATGAGAAAATAGTTTAGGTCCGTGTTGTAAATGGATATAGAGATCTCTTAAGGTTTAAAGAGAATCATTTTGAAAGAGATTTTATATAAGATTTTTATATATTATTTGATGTAGGACGCTTAAAAGACAATTTCATGGAGGATTCAGACAATCACGAGCTAAATACAGATTTACACGTATTATTGATTTTCGCAAAGAAACAATCATATTTTTCAACCCGGAAGGCGAATTCTGACATATTATATATGTAAATCGCCTATCTCGACGAGATGGAGCCAACAAGATCGAAGTTCTTCGTGGATTCGAAGATCGTTCTTTGTGGATTTAGAGAACACCCCTTGGTGGATTCCGAGGTTATCACTTCCGCGCTGCGTCAAATTGTTGAATTTTTTTTGGAAGCAGTGATCATCAATAATTTCAACAACGATGAGATGATACCGCCGACACTAGAATATAGGAAGCAACAAAGAAAATATTTGGAAGAGTTTTGCATGTCAACTACAGAGCCACATGTTGCTAATCACATGCACATGTCATGGGAAAGATTCATACACAAGTTTGATATAGAAGTCCTAGCAGAGGAGGTAAAAGAACAAATGAAGAAAATCAACGCTAAATACAAGGCAGATGCTGATCGTTACAAAATGGAACTAGTATTCTAACAAATATAAGCTCGGGGTCGAGTTTCTTTCAACAAGGGGAGACTGATGTAGGACACTTAACAGACAATTTCATGGAGGATTTGGACAATCACGAGCTAAATATAGATTTACACGTATTATTGACTTTCGCAAAAAAAAATCATATTTTTCAATCCGGAAGGCGAATTCTGACATATTATATTTGTAAATCGCCTGTCTCGACGAGACGGAGCCAACCAGATTGTCAAATTTTTAAAATCTCATCAGTAATTCCCAGTTTTGGCTGAAATCCGAAAATAATCAGCTTTTAGTTTATTTTTAGTAATAAAGTTAGAGTCTATTTAAATTAGGAAATAAATTCAATATTAGAGTCAAATTAGATTAGGAAACAAATTCAATTTTGATTCATGATTTGTTTCCTCTATTATAGGGAGTCTTTTCAGGATATAATTTGATATTTTCTATTTTTTTGTAATTTTAGTCTTATTAGGAGTCTTGTTTATTTCTATTTAAGCTGAGAATTGTAAGCCCTAGAGGCATAATTTTTCATTAATAAATTTTTTCTTTAATATTTTCTTTGTGGATTCGAAAATCGTTCTTTGTGGATTCAAAGAACATCCCTTGGTGGATTCCGAGGTTATCACTTCCGCGCTGCGTCATTATTAGAATGGGATAGGTTTTCAACAAGCACTGCAAATATATATGACAAATCTTGTAATGCATGGAGGTATAGGGGTGGGTCAAATTTTCTGTTTTTAATAGTACATGTATTCTATGTTACAAATGAAACGCATAGCTTCTTGAAGTTGATTGAAACTATCTGGCCCTCTTCAAGGTAGTGAACCTGTAAATTAAGATGAATGCATTTAGTTCGTTGGTTTGAATTCTACAAGTTACAAAAGGAAGGTGATCCATATTGCCTTAATTAGTAGATATATTTCAAGATTTGAACTCCATGGCATTTTTGTAATCGTTAGGTATTTGCCTCCTGATGGATCCCTTTTTGCGTTGATTATATATTCCTAAAATATTTGTATGCTCATGATTGTTAGGGAGAAAGGTTTTAAATATTGTTTATCAAGAATTTATCAATCGGTCAAAATCCATATCAGATAGCAGATTTTGGGGATATATCGGGATAAGTAGCATTTATTAGAGTGTCATATCGAAGGGTGTGCATGCATAATATAATGTCCTAAAATATAATCTTGAATAACATACAAGCAAAAAACAAGATAAACTAACCAATTGTAGAAACTTAATGAAATATAAACATACCAAGATGTAAATGCACATGTTTAAGATCACTAACCAAATGTAAATACACATGTTTAAGATCACTAACTGATAAATCCAATAATTTTATAGCTAAACTCGGCCGATTTATTAGCTTTATCACCACTTTATCGCCGATGACTACCCAAAATGATAACCAATTAAAATTTGAACTTATCACAACAGAAGGCCCCAAAACTGATAAACCGCTGATAATATCAATTTATCGGTCGATATTTAAAACCTTGTTAGGTAGTAATCAGACCACGCCGAGAGTAATGGGCTTTAAAACAAATGTTAGGGATCAATTTAAATCATAAACTTAAGCTATTAAATATTGACCATAGTTTCTATTTTAAACTCATCACTCTTTCTTATTATTTCTAATGTGAGACTATACTCACATATGAATAACATTAACATCTCCCCCTTCATTTCAGAGTAGAACATATGACTATGAAGTGACCATACGGCTATCAACATCTGTAGGATCGTACATGTAGATTTTCTACTATATTGATAGGCAAATCCGCAAACGCACAGACTCGTTGTAGCTATTAAGGTCGATCCAACAGGGACTAGGGGTTAATTATCAAATTTCACGTTTTTGACTTGCTAAACTGATGAGTAAAATAGAAGGGATTAAAATTACGAGATTAAATAATAGAAATAAAATAGACAGCTAATCGGGTGAAAATCAATATAATGAAGGGCCATGATTGGGTATTCACCGTAACTTTGGTGCTCAATGATGAATTATTTTAGTTCTCCGTGTTAGTTTAAACTAAAAATGGTGAATTAGCCTAAATTAATCTAAAGCCTCTTTCAAGGTCTAAAGATCGTGCCTAATTAATCCAAATTAACATACTTTCATGGAATCAAGATTAAATTAAACCCATTAAACTTTATGCTAATCCTAATCAAATCCCCAAGTAATCTAGCCTACTTTCATGGTTCGAGTTTCCTGCTTAATTTCTAGAGATCCAGTATTAATTTTCACCTTTCGGTCATTTAATTAATTACCTATGATTGCTAATCCGGTGATCAAGCAAATTAACAAAATTAATTCACAAAAAATTAAGTTTAAAGATTTAAACTTTCACCAAGAACCTACATTAATTCATTATCAATTATCAAAAAGTTGGGTTCTTTCCCAATCCTAGACAATAAACCTACTCATACATGATTGGTATAAGAGAATACATCAGGTAAACATGCAAATTAATCATAAGAAGAAATTAATTAAAGAGGAAAGAATTAACCTATCTTTCAATTGAAATCTTTAAAATAAAGACTTGTAATCCAATCTTGTACAAGAAATCCTTCATCTTTCTTCAATACTTAAACTCTAAATTAGATACTAATTGACGGCTAAGAGAAAGTAAAAGGGTCCCCCAAACCCTAAGCTAAAATACCTATATATAGGTCTCCAAAAAATCTAAAAAAAGATAAGGTCCGAAGCACAAGTGTAGTGCATGCCACACTCGGGTGTGGCAGAAGCTGTCTTCTAAATATTGTCAGGGCCGGTCCAATGGTGCAGTGCACATCACACCAGGGTGTGGTAGAGTCTGTCTTGCTTATTTTGTGCTCGTTCATGGTCGAAATTTGAGTTCTTCATATTCGTGCGTCCATTTTCTTTTCGAACCATGCATTCTCAATCTCGATGTTGCTTCAAACTCTAGTTTAACTTCTAACGATCATCAAATCTTTCAATCTTGAACCAATACCTGCATATAAGAACACAAATCACAGCAGTATCCTCGATCTAAATACGAAATATGCATCAAACACCCGTAAATCGTACTAAGATAATGCATATTTTACGTGTTTATTAACTCTCCCAAGCTTAGACTTTTGCTTGTCCTCAAGCAAATAAACAATAAAAAAATAAGAGTGAAAGCCAAATACAGTAGGGATCACCCCCTCATCAATCCTTAAACCAATATTAAACATATCACAAGACAGACACGTTTCATCGGGACTCAACAAGGTAGTTTTCGAAACTCTCAATAAATCACATTTTAAAATTTATTTACGATCACAAGCGTCACAAGTCAAGGATAGCCATCCTATCCAATTCTAAATCACATTTTAAAATTTATTTACGATCACAAGCGTCACAAGTCAAGGATAGCCATCCTATCCAATTCTCAAGTCAAAGTATCACAAGTCAAGGATAGCCATCCTATCCAATTCTCAAGTCAAAGTAGGAAAAAGTAATCCATGTAACTACCTTCAATTTAGAAGTAGTAAAATTGAGACCTTCAGGTAGTTAAATTGGTAGACCTCGCTTTAGGGTATGTGGACTCTCAATCTCTCATGTATTTAAGGATAAAATT